TTTTAAAAGAATCAGACTGGTTTTAATTACATTACTGAAGATGAATTACATTTAATATTGTGTATATATATATATATATATATATACATACATACATACATACATATATATATATCATAATTATTCAGATATTATTAGAATGCATTCTGTTATCGTAGTTTATTTTTTTTTGTTGGCATTGTACTTTTTCGGTGCAAATTCCAAACCTCGTATATAAGTTTTCTTAATTCCATATTTTTCTAGAAATAAAAATTTTTTTAATTAACAATACAATAATATCAAAAAACATATTTATTATTTGATATATAAATAATTAATCTCTTACCTGTTAATAGTTTGTATACATACAAGATTTGATTTCCCTGTACTAAAACGCTTGGTGTCTTTTTTCCAGGATCATCCGTGACCGTAGCACTTGCACCAATATTTTGACACTCTTTACTAAAGTCTTTGGAGTTTATTCCAAATGCTTCTAGATTATTTACTAATGTAACCTTAAAGTTATATCATATTGAAATATAATACAATCCCTTTTTTATTTTTTATCTTTTTATTACACGTTAACTTACTTTTTTCCCTCCTGATCTCATGGTTACTCTCATGTCGATTGGTTCCAATTTTCCTTTGTGTAAGATCGTTGTGCCAGCTAATGTTATTTGATGCATATGTGTCATGCGACCTACAAACTTATTAATTCCATCCTCCATTGACAATGTTTCTTGATGTTCTTTAGTTTTTAAAATTCCAGCAAGTTGTGGATTTAGCTTCAGAATTCTACGAAGTATTGATATAATTTTATATCATTAAGCTTATCTTATTACAATAAATATTGAAATACATATTTAATTATTACTCACTTTCCATCTTGAAGATTTTCTTGTTTGACATATTTTGTAAAACACTCTCTGATTTGTCGTCTTTCTATAGTGTCGCCTTTTCTGTAATCATCACATTGCAGGAAAATATATACAAATATTTCTCATATTATAATAAAGCGTAATCGTGTATGATGAAACTTTTCTTGACATCTGTTCTGTACAAAAGATTGTGCCTTCTGCAAATATCGTATCGCAATAAGACAATAATTGCCTAAAATAGTATATATTTACTTACTCGTATCCGTATATCGATAATATTGGTAAAACATCAGTAGTTACTTTATAACAGTCTGATACACCAACTGTATTTGAAGCAACTGGTTCTGACGGTACCGATGTTTCATTAATAATTAATTCTTTTAACAAGGGATGTTTGAACTAAGTGAAAAAACAAAAAAAAAAAGAAATGATGTTAGAAAGAAAAATTAATTAGTCATAACTGTTTTAATAAATTTCACCAAATTAATTATTAAAAATTACCTCCACTGACAATAAACTTTCCACTCCTTTTGTCACAGAAGTATTAATAAGTCCTTTAGCCTTCATATCTGTCAGAAAAACAGATAGCTTTTTGTATCTTGATTTTTTTATATCTATATTTTTATCCGGTGGACAGGCTGTTAATAAATGATTTTTAAAAAAATTAGAGGTTAACATGGGCAGATCATTGGCTTTGAGCGTTGTTTTGCATGCTTTTAGAAAGCAATACTCTAATAATTCATCCATTTCTTTTGTAAGATCAACAAATTCAGATGTTCCAGAAATTGTGTTTGTTGTACTTTCTGCTTGTTCCTCCTTTTCATTTGCAATATCCTATATGTAATATAAAATTTTTATTTAGAAAATATAAAAATTATGAAAATGTATTATTTTAAGATTTGAAAATGTAGATATACTTACTTGAGATATGGAATCAGTTTTATCAGCATTAACATCATCATTACCAATTTCTAATTCATTTATTAAATTAGACAATGGTTTAGCATCGTCAGAATCATTTTTTGTAATTTCTGATTTTTCATTATCTCTTTCATTGTCATCTAATTGATCTTCTTCGGAAACATTTGGAAGACCAAGATCAGGTCTAACAGGTGATTTTCCTAATTGACAAAGATTATCACCCATTACATGATAAATTTGTATACATTTCCCACGACCTGCAGATAAATACATATCTTCGCTGGATAGTGCAGTAACGCCAACAGCTATTGGTGCCTGTTGTAAAATTTCAAATAATTATTCATAATTCTTTTGTTTATCATCTCAATTAAAAAAGCAATACCTTATTTTCTTCTGTGTTCACTGATACCGGTGTACCTTTTGCTAATTTACCATAAGAATAGAATGTTATTGGTTCTTTTACCACTAATCCAGGTAACATCAAATCTGCCCCTTCAATCAATTTTGGTAATACTTGAATACGCATAGTAAAATCATGTAATAAATGTGGATGATGCCATAATGTATAGATCGTTGGAAAAAACATTGACGAGGATGCTTCTAATTGAAAGAATAATGGTATTCTGGCAACGCAATATAATTTACATAGTTGACCATTATGAGTTACTATTCTCATTACAGTAATCGATTCTTTTTTTGGTAACAAAACTTGTACCGTTTCTTCTGTTAAACAAGAGTACATTGATAATACATATTCGCATAATTTTTTCCTGGAATCATATCAAAAATCATATAATTTAATAGATATAGAAAAATATGTGAAATAAAATGAAATATATTAAACTGACCTTTCAGTACCCTTTAATTGGTTATTAGATTTTACTTTGAACGGTTTAATAAACATCGTAATTTTTGTATTATTCCAAATAACATTTATAAAAAATTACATACTGTAAACACTCTAGCGAATCCCCATTCGTATGACAATCACTTGTGTAGATTCAATACAGTAATGCTAATATTGCAAACACATACATATATATATATGTACATATATAAGTAAATGGAATAATATTCCAAATGTACTGATCAGAGAGTGCGTCCGTTTTGTAGGGATTTTTATCGTTTAAGGTTGTTCATCACACTTTCCCTAGAAAAGTATTTGACTTTAGCGACAAGTACGGATAAAATATAAACTACAAGCGCAAACAGGGAATATTGTCATCGCCATATGATATCATATAAATTCATAAACTTAAATAAATTATATTTATTTAATTGTACATAATATTATAATAATCGGATTAATTTTGGTTAGAATAAATCTCACATTTATATTTTTCTTTAATGATTATATATTCGGTCGCATTAATTCGCGTTAGATAAGACACAATGTTACGCATTTATTTTACGATATAAAAACATAAAGAATAATAAATATAATTGATACGAATATTAATGAATATTTATATATCAAATATTTTATATAAGTATATATATACTTACGTGCTTCTTTTTCTATTGTTATTATTATTTTATAATAATAATAATAATAATAGAATAAAAAGAGAACTATTTTTTTTCTATATGAAAAAAACTAATGATATGATTTTTATAAAGATAATATATAATATATAAAAAATGATATCTTGTTCATAAAAATCGATTTAGCATTATGCCTGTTACTCATCGTTCGTGTTAAACATTATAAAATCTGATGTAACGAATAGCCTTAACTTTATCCTTTTAGATTCAATGATACAAATAATTAAACATTTATTTTTTTTGCTTTGAATCATTTCAAACAACGATATGTTATAATAATAATATCCTTTATGTTCGTCGTATTACCAATCGAAATACGCATTCGTGAATATCTATGATACATCGTTTGTTTTCTGACTGTATTTTATTTTTAATAAGTAGTAGCAGGTAATAGTTCTTGGTTGTGACGTTAGTCGGCGACGAATTAATAAAATGGTTGTTCAGGATTGATGCTTCATCTAAATAACGTATATGCTATTGTCAGTGAAATTAAATACCAGGGAAAATATTTGATAACAGTGAGGTCAATGTTATCATTGAATTTACGTTTACCAATGCTGAAATGAAGCTGAAGTATGTTATGTATGGTTACGCGTTGGATTTACGCGGAATATTATCGCAGATCGCCCCTGACGGGCTCTGCGTTTCATCGGATTAATATTAATCAATGGCTTTATTTGAGAAGAGGTATACTAATAAAATATTGTTAGATGATACAGAGAAGTTGACAAGTGTCATTGAAAATGCTAGAACAATTGACGGGCATACGGTAAGTTTTTCATTTTATACGATCTTTATATTTAATTATAATTAACTATTGATAATAGTATTTCGATAATTTTCATGTATTTCTTTTAAGAATTTTTATATTCTCTAAATGGTTCAGATAAAGTTTTTTTCTTTTTTTCCTTTCACGGTAGGATAATAAACGTCGTCTTAATTAGCAAATAGTCTTATTGTCAGTATTTTATTGTTTTCTTCTTCTTTTTTCTTTTTTCTTTTTTCTTTTGTATTCTTTACTCTTACTTTTTCTTTTTTTTTTTTTTTTTTTTTTTATTTTTCTTTTTATTTGTTTATATAGGAATATGTGATTAGAGTACAACGCGGTCCTCTACCTGAAAAAACGTGGAGAGTGAGCAAACGTTACAATGACTTCGTTCAACTTAATGCAGTTTTGTCATTATCAGGCATTGACCTGCCATTACCTCCTAAAAAGATCATTGGAAACATGGAGCCTGACTTTATAGCTCAACGTCAATTAGCTTTACAGAATTATTTAAATATAGTACTAATGAATCCCATATTGGCATCATCTCTTCCTATGAAAAAATTTTTAGATCCTGATAATTATACAACGCCGTTACATGGTAGGTCATATAAAAAGATTTTGTTTATTTGTATATTTTATGGATTTCCTTGTTTATTCCTTTCCTTTTTTTTTTATATATTCTTTTGTAGAAATAGCACTACAGCAAGTATCATTAGCTTTACGCAGTGATGCTAATTTCGAAGTTGGGAAAGCTATTCCTGATATGGGATGGCGGTTAAGAAAATATTATTATACTGTTAAGAATCGTCAAAATCCAAAGCAAGAATATTTACTTGCTTGGGTAGAATTTGGACCAGATAAGCATCTTCAGGACAAAGATATGCAAGGGGTTTTCAAAAGTCTGGGTACTTTGAAACATAATTACATTGAACCAATAGTTCACCAGCATGTAACAGAGAATGGAGCTCTTATGATAAGAAATTTTTGTCCAACGGGTACATTGCGTGATATACTTTGTATGACCAAACCTAAGCAGTCATTCATAAAAAAGTATGGAAATCCAAAACAAGTTAAATCACTCACATTACCTGAAGTTACTATTTATGGTTATCAGGTTAATAATTATTGAACTTCAAGATGGAAATAAATATTAAAGTTAATAGTTCTTAATTTAATGTATCGTATTACAGATATTGGAAGCATTAAGTTTTTTACATGAGAAAGGATTACCTTATGGGCATCTACATACAGGCAACATATTATTGACACAGGGATGTGCTAAGTTATTAGATATAGAAAATGGCCTTTTGGGTTTACCAGCATTTTATAGGCCTTATGTTGTTCAGAGACGAAAACTTCATGCCACGGTTTGTCCAATATTAAATAATTAATATATAATCATTTTATATAAACAATTAAATTGACTTTCTTTAGACTCAAGTGGATGTCTATTCGTTTGGACATGTATTATATGAAATGGCATTTGGCAGACCATTATTAGAAGCAATGTGTTCTGAAATGCCAACTTGCGATATAACATTGAAAAATCTACTGGAGGTAATTTTATCACCAGAAGCTCTCAAGCAGGACTTACCTAAGGTTCAACGTTTGCTAGAGCACCCATTTTTTGAAACAGTGCGACGTACGAATCTCGCTATTAGTTCTATAGAAAAACCACATTTTAAACTTAGTAATCATTTGAAGGAAGCTTTACAAGAAGCAATGAATAAAGCAGAGCAAAGATTGAGAGATGAACAAAAGGTAGTTAGACATCAGAAAAGGCTTGTGAAGGTTCAAGAATTGATGAGCACTGAAGAAGAAATGAAAAAACGAAAACAGAAATTGGTAAGATTTTTAGTTTTATTTTAAATATAATAAATAATCATTATATCGATATTAATGGAAATCTTATTATCTGTACTAGAAAAAGGAGCAAAAATTAGCACAGGAACAACATATGTCTAATCAATTGGGAACAAATGGTACAAAACAAGTAAATGGTAAAAGTTCAGAAAGATCTGATAGCCCAACGAGTACATCTACTGCTACCAGTGTTGGAACATTAACGCCCCCATCGCTTGGTAAGTTTTCCTTAGTCATATTATTATTATCTTCATTAATACTAATCAATGTCCACCTTTTTAATCAGCTGGGCACAAAAGTTGATGGCGCATACTACGGTCATTTCTTTCACGTAGGTCGTTCATATGCATTCATGTTTGTTAATCTTTCTGCCATATCATCGCATGAATATACATACAAAATTTCTTGCATATGTTACATTACATTACATTACATTACATTACATTACATTACATTACATTTATCAAGAATCATATACGCACTTTGTGAAACAGTTATATGAATTATGTATCTCCTTTATGAATCTTTATGCATGACTAAAATATATAGGATATTAAAGGAAAAAAGAGAGATTTAAATTTGGAAGACATATAGTACTTATTAAGTTAAGTAAAAAATGCTTAGTCAAATAGATGATTGACAAGAATTACCCTACCATACTCTTATTTTGATGTTTGCAAACAATGTCATGTACTATATATCTTACATATCAAAAAATACAGAAATATACAAAAACATGTTGACAAATACATCTTATTTTATAATCATTATAAAATAATATTTAAATTTAATTTTAGTGAAAGATAGATAGAATTGAATGAATTAGTTGCATGACCTTCCAGTCTTTTAATTTAAATACTCTATATTTTTGTGTTTATTTTAAGTACTTAGTTTATCCATCTCTCATTAATGATATGCAAGATTTACAGCAACAATTACTAAAAGTATCTATCAAATGAAGAAAGATAAGTAGAACAGTATTTGTAAACATTAAAATAAGAGAACATTAAGGTAAATATTTACGCACTATGTAGGATAACTATAAGTAAATCACTGTCATCACAAAAATTAAAAATTACTTATAACTCAATCAAGATCAATTTTTCAGCCTATCTTGATTAATCGTTGACTATCTTGTTTACTCAGTTTAACGAGTATTAATTAATGTCCTCTTAGTTCTGTGAATCCTTTCTTTAAACATCCTATGTATATATATATATATTTGTCTAATAAAAAAAATAGGAATATATTGTAGTGTTTTATATTCATAATTTTGTTGCAAATATATATATATATATATAATATTATATATATTATATATATACATATATATAAAATTAAATAGAATGCAAAAACTATATTTATGTCGTGATAAACATAATAAACGTAATAACATTGAAATATTTTTAATCTAAGGTTTTACAGAAATGCCACATGGTGATGTACCTGTTAAAAACATCAATCCATTACCACCAGCGTCTGTGTCATCTGGTGAAGTAGAGGCCCCTATATCAAAACCAGGCAACGAACGTGCAGCTTTACTCGGAAGTATCTGTTCGTTTGATAAAAGTAAACTTCGTAGAATTGTCAATGGTAATCATTAGAGAATCTTCTCAAAGAACAAATCATTTCGTAAATAATGTTGTTCTTTTCTTTTTTCTTGTTATAAGAAAACATGATTTTATTGAATTAAAGAAATGTTTGTTCTATACGAGAAAAATTTAAGTACAACATTTAAAAATTATTTAGTATTGCAAGTACCACTCTGTGTACATAAATCTACAAAATTATGGATGTACTGGTAAAAAGTAATGTAGAGAAAATATTACAAAAAAAAAAATATATATATATATATAATTACATACAGTATTCTAAAAAAAAAATGTCATGAATGAATTGGAAGACTTAAAAAACTATAAAATTAAAGTTAAATGTATAATCATTATTAATTTTGGTAGTGCCTGAAATTATATAAAAATTTTTTTATTTACCTTATAGTAGTATTATATAGTACCAAATTTTCCAATACAAAAGATTTTATAGTCATACAATGTTTTTGTGAAGTATTAATGGTCTGAAATTATAAAATACTTCGTATAATGTTTCTAAGTGAAATGGACTTTTAAAAGAGAGAGAGGGGAGGAGGAAGAGGAAGGAGGAGAGAGAGAGAGAGAGAGAGAGAGAGAGAGAGAGAGAGAGAGAGAGAGAGAGAGAAATATTAAGTGAAAAAACACGTATTCGTAAGATAAATACGATATTTAATTGTATCGTATTAAGAGACACAGATACATGAAATATAAATGTTAATATTTCTTTATGTATATTTTATTATTTTTTTTGAGATGTCTCTTCGTGTAATGTATCTAAACTCATATTACATACGATATTTAATCTTATTGTATTAAAAGATGGAGGAGATATATGAAATATGATTATTATTATTTTTTATGTATCTTTTATCATTCTGTTTAGAGACATCTTGTGTGCAATGTATTTAAATTTATATAATATATGTATCCACTTATTATAGTAATCATGTTTAAAAATATTATTATAACAAAATTTCATGAAAATTCTAAAAGATATATATAGAAAACCAAATTTTAACGATTACAATGATAAATATAAATATAATTGTTTCTCATCTCTTATTATCTATATAAATTATAATATGCATAAAAACATCAGATAGAAGTAAACCACAACAACTAAAGAGAATTGCTTATATAGATTTGCATATATATCTCTATAACTTTTTGAACTGAATTCATATTCATACAGACAGTAAAAAAACAAAAAGAAAAAAAAAAGAAAAATATGAACACCAATTGTTTTTATCAGAATCTTATCAAATAAAATCTTTTGATTGTCTCTTTCTTTTAGAAACCGTCCAGAGAAAGATATAAAGGTTCGAGAAATTTTTTCATACCTTAAAAGGATTTGAAACTATTTAAAATATATAATAATATTTTTTACATCAAATTGTTTCTTTCATTCTAGATATATCAGACTATTATCGTTATGGAATATAATACGTAGACGAAAAACATAATGTGTCAGAGTGTGATAATGTCGTATTTTAGTTATTCCTTTCGTTAGCTTTATTTTTTTTTATATATATATATATCTATCAAACGTTTATAATGATAAAAATGCATAATTTATGTTTACGTATGCGGAATATAAGGCGAGAAGATCGTATGTCCTTTTTGTATCATTTATAAGACCACACTAACCAATTTCATAAGTAAAAAAAAAAAAAATATACGTGCCAAGACATACGTAATCATTGCGTTGATAATAACCTTCGTTATATTGTTAGTTCGTAAAATAAATTATCTCTCTGTAGGATACTATGAATGTCATTATCTATCGATGTTAAATCGGAAAATGTAATATAAACATTATTTTAATACACGTAATGTCCCTTGTATGTAGGGCTTTAAAATGTCTCTAGAATCAAAAATGATAGCTACCAAGGGACACAAAATTACATGATTAATTGTATTTTTAAATGAGTTTAAAAAAACGTGGAAAAAATTAATTCTTCCTCTAACGATATACTTGTGTGTACAGTGATTTAAAAAAAAAATTTGAGTAATGCATTTAACAAACAGATTCATATATTTTATGAAAAAAAGCAACTATTTCTAGATTCTATCCAACGTTTATTTTTATTATTATTATTATAATAAAATTATGTACACATTCTCATGTCACTTTAAGAATTATAGAAAAACTATATTATATGTATATGTGGCTCTAATAATTGTATTATGGTGTCAAGTAGTTTATACAGCTTATTTAAACAAACAAAAATATATTGAAAAGATTAATTTATAGTAGAATGTCATTGTTACCATAGTTACGTCGATGTATAAAGACCGTTAAAAAACATTCGAATTATTCCATATCAAAACAAAACACATTTTGCTATTTAATAATATAATATTATATAATGAAAAGTTTTAAGGAAAGATTCTTACACACAGAAAGGAATTATAATTTGAAAAATTCAAATCAGTTTAGAAAATAGAATGTTGCGAGAGAAGAATATTAACGCTTTGACTTAGCCAAAGACCTTTTTATAGCTACTACATACGTTTATTCTGAAAGAAATAATAAAAGAGTAAAATAAAAGCAGTAGTTATAATAATAAAGTTTTTATTGCACTGAAAATGACACATATAAAAAGCTATATATATATATGATGATGATGATGATGAAATATACAAATAAAGTATAAATATAAACCAAACATAAACTTAATATAACGTGAAAGCAAAATTTAGAATAAATGCTCTTTTGAAATTTAAAAAATAATCTATTTAATGTTATTTTACTAAATAATATCTAATTTGAAAGCTACTTGATTAAACTTATAATTTGATGTTAATATATATATATATATATATTTTTTTTAATTATATATCATTTATAGATGTAATAGGCTTCCAACAATGACATTTTTTTAAATAAAAGCAAGTGTAAATTATGCACACACAATCCAACAATTTAGTCTGTAATCAAAGCTAAACTATTCTAAAATTTACATATTTGGTTTACAAGGGATTTATTTAAAATAATAACAAATAAACAGAGAAACACGATAGAACAACATAAATTAGAAAAATATCACAAGAGATACAAAAAAAAAAAAAAAAAAAAGAAAAGAAGAAAAAAAAAACAATATTTGCTGTAAAGAATTATTGTAAATACAGGTGTCTCTATTTCTTTTAAGTGAAAAGTAATAGAAATCATAAAAATACAAATTTTCTATTTTGTAAACGATTTTTAAAATTACTATAGACGTTATTCCTTGAATATTTATTTTATATAAATTATACTTTACATTTAAGATCCTTGTATACTTAATTGTATACTTAAAAGATGTCTGTAAGTTCATAGATATATAAAAATAGTATTTATGTTGTAAAGTTGTATTTTATGTTCTATTTATTTCAAATAGATTTTTAATACGATTCATTGATTTTTTCTAAGAACAAAAAAAATTAAAATTTTTTTTGTAATATTATGAAATAATTATGAAAATAAATATCAACGAATAGTGGAAAATATTATAATTGTATTAATGGTACAAACTTACTATTAGGAACAAGTTTTTAAAAGCTGATAAATGAGTACATGCAGTTTTTTAAATCATTATACAATTGGTAATTGCAATAGAATTATCATTTGATTATAATAGAATTGTCATCATTACTGTCATCGATACTGTGAACAAAGAAACCTTTTTTCGATGATCAAATTTATAGTTATAGTTTTATATATAGTTATAGTTTTTCAATTGATTATTGAAGATTATAAGGTTATCTTTTCAATCATACATATACATACATACATACATACATACATACATACATGTATATATATATAACTTTAACGTAACATATATATTGATGTTTTAATAATTTAACTTAAACTAAATGTTAAATCATGGAGTCATATTAAAAATACAAGTCATAGCATTTTCAAAATTATCTACATCTTGCATCTTCAAGAAATGTTTATTTAGGAAGCTTTTGATTAAATATATCGATAAATTTTTTCCATTCGCCTTTTTGTCATTATTGGCATAAATATGTACACAGTGGTGTGTTATTAAATTGATTAAAAAAAAAAAAAAAAAATTATAATTTACATTGATAAATATTATGCAAATTTTGTAATCAACAAATATAGAAAGTTAGAAAAAAAAAAAAAAAAAAAAAAAAAAACAAATGGAAATTATACAATTACTAATTAATGGTTTTTTTTCTCTCCAATTTTGCATTTCGTTAATATTTGTAAAATGATATGTGAAATTTAAATTGTATATCATTATCGATACTTTTCCATCTTTTTATCGACAACTGGCGATTAAGGCTAGGAAAAAATTATCTGTGAAATTTAATTTGATGTCATAATTTTTCATGAAGCTTTTCCGTTGCTGTCTTTAATCTGTAAATTATAGGAGAATTAAAAAAAAGAAAAGAAAGAAAGAAAGAAAAAGAAAAAGTAAAAAAAAAAAAAAAAAAAAAAAAAAGAAGAAAAAGAAAAAAAAAGAAAAAGAAAGAGCTTTACCTCAAAAGTTCTTCCTGAATACGATCAGTGATAGCTTTTCTGGCCTCTATTTCTGTTGCTTTAGTTTCTTTTAAATTCCTCAACAACTCACTAAAATCTATGGGTTTACCATAATTCATGGTAACCTTTTTTCGCGTTTTAAACATATAAGGTGGCTCATTAGGAAGTACTTGATCCATGCCAAGATGACATATAGGAATTACTAGAGGTGTAACAGGAGATTCTAATATCAATCTTCCAATACCCCATTTCAACCTGGACAAAATCAAATATTACTTTCCATGCGATTATTCTTCATCAATTTAAATTATGTATATACATATGGATAAATGATAAATATATAGACCTCATGTTTTCCTTAAACATGTTGACTTTTCCTTCAGGAAACACGTGGATCCAATCCCCAGAAGTCAGCTTTTCGATGCAGAAGTCAATAGCTTCCTGATAAACACCATTGCCTCGTATGACAGGTATGCACTTGCCAAGCATAAAGAAGTAGGAATGCCAAACATTCGTGAAACAAATGTCATGTGCGGCGAGGGACCATCTCATCCTACGACGATTCAGCAAATGTCTCAGGTCCAGTGTGGCTAAATGAGTTCAGAGATTTTCTGTCTTTAATTCTTTCATTCGATCGATTAGCGACGTCATTCTGAGAAAGAAAAGATTATATATGTCTCAGAGGGAGAGCTTGCGGGCATATTCAGAATACGAAGAAACGAGAGAGAGAGAGAAAGAGAGAGAGAGAGAGAGAGAGAGAGAAAAAAAGAAAGAGAAAAAAAAGAGAGGGGGGCGGGAGAAATAAAAAAAAGAAAGAGATAATTAAAGTTTTTTCTTTAAAAAAGAAAAATAAATAATTTATTAGTACGTAGTAGATGATAAATACAATATGATTTATATATGTGTCTATGCATGCATAATTTATTAAAAATTTTTATGTTACAGGTAAATGCGTTGTGCAATCAGAATATGTGATGAACCGGTCGATGCTTCGTATATTTTGCGGTAACACAAATAAAGGTACAAACTTACCCCATATACCAGGATCGTCGAAACAACTGTGATGATTCGAGACAGTAATAAGAGGAACATTTTTCGGTCGTTCATCTAAGGCCCGGTTAATGATATGTTTGTTGTAGACCAATGCTTTATTCAGCCATTCTTAATGAAAGAATATTTTTATTAAGAAAATATTCTTATTATATATATATATATATATATATATATATATATAATATATTATATAATATATATATAATATATTATATAATATATATAATATATAATTATATATATATATAATATATAATAATATATATATATATATATTTCTTTTCTTATTAAAACGAGATTTTTATAATATATTATATATATAAAATATATTATATATATTTATATATTTATATATTTTATATATACATATATAATATAGGTTATATATAAGGATTTCGTTTTGATAAGAAAAAATAAATGTAGTAAAGTAATAAATTAAAAAAAAAATCGATGATAATTGTTTAAAAATAATTTCTGATTAACATGTTAAATTTAAAATTATTGTCACGGACGATACTGACGTCATTAGAATGCTTCTTAGAATATTAAATAGTAGTATTACAGTAGTTTTAATGTGTGCAAAAAAAAAAGAACAAAAATTAATTCGCATTCATTATTATATTATTTGTTATATTTACTATAATAATATTTATATACAGATTATATATAAATGAAATTATAAAATATAAAATATATTTATAAGTTTTCTCTTTACTAAAAAAAGAAAAAAAAAAGAAGTATCTCAAAACGTTATCACTTTTAATGAAAATAGAAATTAAATTAGAGCTGTGTAATAAAATAAAGAAATTAAAATTACCTTTATCTAATCACGTAGGACAGACATACGCATAACTCATTTACATATAATAGTTAAAACCATTTAAAGAAGATAAACTATTGCTGAAAGATAAACTTGTGATCTTCTATCAACTAACTACGTTTAATTTATTTTTTATGATATTCTATAATGACAATGAATTGGAAAGAAAGTAACATGTAAAAAACATTTTAATGGTACTTTACGTATCAAAAAAGTTATATTTTTCAGAGCGTAAAAGATATATATATGTATATGTATATACAGTAAATAAAAGTAAAAGTAAAAGGAATAAATTTATTGTAACAAGTGAAAGCACTGAGTCATTAATGAATAAAAGAAAATCAGAATCATTTAAAAGTACTTATTATCAATTATTCGTAATAATCCTTTTAAAATTCGTACGAGCATAATCAACAACGGGTGAAAAAAAAAAAGAAAAGAAAAAAAAAAGAAACTAGAAACAAATATTAAGAGTATACAACATGTAGATAAAATGTAAAGTGATCGTAAATGGTTCATTAAAAAATAATACTGCGTCATAATACGATATATAGAAACAGACACATACCTATGATGATCTTTGAGAATATCCCAACGGCGGCGAAGGTTATGCTACTCGCTATGTTCCATAATCTTGTTGGAGTTCGAAGTTTAGGTATGATCCACTTGATATCGTACATCATAGTGCTACGTTTCGTTGACTTCGGTGAACGAAGAAATGAGAAGTAATGTAGTTCTGCGAGGGAATGGGAAGCAGTATCCCCGCGAGGGACTGTCCACTCTTTCGTAATTCTGATCAGCCATCTTCCTGCCAACTTCACACTATTTTTCATGAAGTGCGTCACGTGAGATGATCGAATCATAACACTCGTCTTTAATGAAACGATACAAAAAGTTCTTTATTAATTCGATCGGAAAAATAAAATGAGTATCGATATCATTTACGTTACTAAGTTATATATATATATATACATATATATATATATATGTATATTAAATCGCTTACCACGAACGTGATGTACATGAGAAGGAAACAGCGCCTCGCTGGCCATGCGCGATATTAATCTTTAAAAAGCGCGCGCTTTTAAGTAATAAAATTGAATACTATCGGACAATATACATTGTATATATTTTGTAATTAAGTTTGGATATTTTCTTAGGTTCCATCTTTTAGTTCTTTGGTATTATTGCATATTGATATGGTGTAATCGATAATTAAAAGTTTAAGTTATCATTATTAATCAATATCGAACTGTTTTTGTTATAGTGAATAATAAATAAGCTTAGTCATGCAATATTTAAAAATAAAAAAGAAATTGCCATATAACTAGTTAAAAAAAGCTTGAAGGTCATATTAGCGTTTTATTTTCTTTGACGTAAAGTGTTAATCGAATTTTTTTTTGGTTTTTTTTTTTTTTTTTTTTTTTTTTTTTTATACATTTTTTTTAACAATTCAAACGATCCATGTCACGATATTATTCAATGTTGCAACGAACGTTATATTGATTTTATGAAACATATATATATATATATATATATATATATATATATGTTAGCAATTTATTGATTTTTATAGTTATAGACTTTAAATATACATATGTAAATATTTTCGGTCTGCGAAACAGGTCTTTGAAATCGTTGCGAGAACGTTTTATATGTTTTACAAAAAAAAAAGAAAAGTATATATTTCATTAAATAAAAAAAGAAGGAAGAAACAAAAATATCTTGAAGTATCTTTTATTAGTCTCCGTTAGAAAAAAATTTGTTTCCGTAGAATTGAATATTTACACTAGATAATATTTATTCGTATAACTTCAAATCTGAATAACAATCGTAAGTTATTTTATAAAAGAATCATTATATATATATATATATATATATATATATATATATATATATATATCACTATCATTATATATATATAAATATATAAATTTATATATATATAGTATATATAATACATACTATATATATATAAATTTAATTACCTTTGAAAAGTATGCAAAAATCATTTATTTTATGTTAAATATTGAATCATAAAAGTATGAATTAATAAATTATAAAAAAGAAAAAAAAAAAAAGGAAAAGAAAAAATTAAAGAATATAAAATAAAAAAAGATATTTACATATATTGTGCCATTGTTAAATATTCAACATGTGAAGCATATGATCTATGATATTTCTTTTTTACAATTTACTTTGCAACAATTGTTGTCCTATATTATCTTTCGTTTAAAAAAGGTTACGTACCTACAGTAAATTGCATGTGTGTATATAATATCTCTACCTAAGATAGATTCATCGGCTTTATAGGTACCGTGTATGATATATATATATTTATATATATATATATATGAGAGAGAGAGAGAGAAAGAAAGAAATGAATCGGCAAGGAAGAAGGAAAAGAATGAAAGGAGTCTGCTAACCAAGAGAGAAAGCTAGAGTGAAGAGTCACGGTGGGAGGATAAAGAGGAGAATGAAGAAGAAGAGGTGGAGAAAAGGAGTTAGAGAAGGAGGAAGAATAAGAGGAGTAAGAGGTGGATGAAGAGGTGTAGAGGAGGAGGAAGAGGAGGAAGAGGAGGAAGAGGAGGAAGAGGAGGAAGAGGAGGAAGAGGAGAAAGAGGAGAAAGAGGAGGAGGAGGAGGAGAGCGTATATAGGAAGAAGGGCCCGCGGCATGCGAATGGAGAAGAAGGGGGAGAAAGGTAAGAAACGAAAGGAGAGGGGGAGTGAAGGGAGCCGGAGGGGTTTCGGGCCGAGATGGTGAGGTAGTAGAGAGAAGAAGAAGAAGAAGGACAAGGAGGAGAGGGGAGAAAAGGGCCTCATCTCGGCGGTCAGTCCAGCTCGAGTCTCTTGACTGTGCGCGCGTGCGTTGACGCGGAATCGTGGGAGCATCGAATCCGATATCCCGAAGAATTTTTGTTGATCTTTTTCTCGTTTCTCGGTTACTATTACTCTGTCTCTCTACTCTTTTTTTTTTCTTTTGTTTTATTATTATTATTATTATTATTATTATTATTATTATTATTATTATTATTATTATTATTATTATTATTATTATTATTATTATTCTTATTATTATTATTATTATTATTATTATTATTATTATTATTATTATTATTATAATTATTATTATTATTACTCTCGTCAAGTAAAAAGAAAGGAAAGGAAAGAAAAGGAAAAGAAAAGAAAGAAGGAAAAAAGAAGGATCAAGAAACAGAAAAAAAAGGATCCTTTCGTTAGTTCCAATCGATGCCTCGTTATCTCTTCTTTCTTCTCCCTTATTTTCTCTCTCTCTCTCTCTCTCTCTCTCTCTCTTTCTTTCTTTCCTTTCTCTTTTTTTCCTTCTTTTTTCATTCCCTTCCCCCTCCCCCATTTCTCTATATCTTTATCCTGTCAATTGCGTGCACGCAACGAACTTTAAATCGTAAATGTCGATCCCCGGTCGTGTGAAAGTCGGCGGCCGGGCTTTTTAGTCGTTCGGATTTTATCGTTACGGTAAGAGAAAGAGAGAAAGAGAGAGAGAGAGAGAGAGAGAGAGAGAGAGAATGAGAGAGAGAATGAGAGAGATGGAGAAAAGGATCAAAGGGACGGGACGAGAGGAAAAAAAGGTGAAGAGAAGGTAGGAGAAAGAGAAAGAGAGAAAGAGAAAGGGACAAAGACAGGAAGAAGGGAGAAAGGAGTTAAGAAGCAAGTAAGCGAGCAAGCGAGAGAGAGAGAGAAAGAGAGAAAGAGAGAAAGAGAAAGAGAAACAGAGAAAGAGAAAAAGAGAGAGAGAGAGAAAGAGAGAGAGCGAGCGAGCGAGATAGCTCGTCTCGAGAGTGCAGTGGACGGTGATGTCGCGAGGATGCCATCGTCTTCGTCGTCGTTGTCCCTCTTTTCGTTATCCCGGTCGTTGTCGTTGTCGTTGTCGTCGTTGTCGTTGTCGTTCACGTCGTCGTCGTCTCTCTTGGTGGTCACTAGCTTCGCGATTAAACAACGACGATCCTCTCGCATAGCGAAGGGACGCCAGGATTCGCCGTTTCTTCTTCGTTCGCTGGCTAATGCAGGTGCAGGTGCCTGTGAATGTGCAGGTGGTGCTGCTAGTGAATGCGGTGTTCTGTTGTTTCACATTAAGAGCTTGTGCGTGGTTGTTAGTGAAAAATTAGTGATAGAGAGTATAAGAAGAATCCTACGTAATCGACGTTTAACGAGTCGTTGTTTTTGGAATTATCGTCGACGTCGTTGTTCCTGCTGTTACTGTTGCTGCCGTTGCTGCTGTTGCTGTTGTTACATAGGGGAGACCACCAGAAGACGAGGAAAAAGTAGAAGAAGAAGAAGAAGAAGAAGAAGAAGAAGAAGAAGGAGACGAAGTAGTAGTAGTAGTAGTAGTAGTAGTACTAGTAGTAGTAGTAGTAGTAGTTGAGGAGGTGCTGGAGAACGTTCGGGAGGAGCTGAGAAATTTGCGGGAGGGGGAACTCAAGTAAAAGGATTCCGTGTAACGCGCGCTCCGATTTGCCGGCGCAGCATCTCTCGGCTGGTACGAGGAGGAAAGCAATAGGTAGATACGTAAGCTCTTCTTTCCTTTTCTTCCATTTTCTTTCCTTCTTTTTCTTATTCTTCCTCGTCCTCCTCCTTTTCCTTCTCCTCCTCCTCTTCCTCTTCTTCTTCTTCTTCTTCTTCTTCTTCTTCTTCTTCTACCTCTTCGTTTTCTTCTTTGGCACGAGTATGAGCGCGTACGCGCATGCTCTCGATCGATGATCCTCTTTGCTGCTTGCACCTAACGAGACTAACCTGTCGAATTTATACTTACATACATTACATAGATACCATGGATATTATATATTTATCGAATCAATCGAGCGTTACGCATTTGGAATAATTTTTTTTTTTTATTCGATCTTGTTTCAAGAAGAAAATATTCGACGTAACTTCTGTTCTTTATTATTATTTCTTTTTTTTTTTTACGATAGATTACTTAAACGTTTAAATTACTTGTCTCTAAGGAAAGTATTCATAAATATTAATCATAATTATTAGGAAAAGAAAAAAACATTTCCTACAATGACAATGATGAAAGCTAACAGATATACTTATTATTTCTTATTCAAGATTTTTTTTATCGAAATTTAATTTTAATTCCAAAATGGTGACAACGTAGAAATTTATTTCAATAGATATTCTTTGTTGATTTATTTTTATTACGCATAAACAAAGAATATTTTTAATCTTTGTCCTTTTAATTTTTTATTTATTATATTTTTATTATTGTTGTCAACGTAAACGAAAACGTAGACGAAAACGTAAAATAATAAATACTTTGTGAACACTTGTTTTGCTTCAGCTCTACGGAAAGAAAGATAGAGATAAATAGATAGATAGAAAGAGAAAGAGAAAGAGAAAGAGAAAGAGAAAGAGAAAGAGAAAGAGAAAGAGAAAGAGAGAGAGTGAGAGAGTGAGAGAGAGAGAGAACCTTCAAGCCTTCTTCTCTCTTTCTCGCTGCTAACAGAGAAGCAAGCATCCTTCGAGAGCAACCGAACACAGCGGGATATCGTACGTCTTTATCTCGCGAGAAAGTTACCAGGGACTTTGATTGCGAATTATATTTCGTCGTGTTTCTTTTCTGGCCATGTGTAAAAGTGAAAGCAATATTACTGTTTCCATGAGAAAGTAGTCATAGCGAAGAAATTTGAACGTGAGATGCATGACAATACGAATTTCTTCGGAAATATTCTGTTTTCCTTTTTTTTTTTTTCCTTTTTTCCTCTTTCTCTCTCTCTCCCTCTCTCTCTTTTTCGTTTTGTTTTTAAAAACGATATTATCAAGAACAATTAGGATTTAAAAGAATTTTTACGAAATTAACGTAATGATCGAAAGAAGACGAAAACAGATGAAGGAAAAGAAAAAAAAAAAAAAGAAAAAAAAAGCAGAAACAATCCAGATAATTTTCTACGAACGGCCTCGGGAGTAAGCAAAAACGAAACATTATGGTTTAGATAGTTTAGTAGGCATTTCGATCTCGTTAAGAGCACTTACTTCTTCTTCTTCTTCTTCTTCTTCTT